AAGATGAAGAACTGTACCTCTGCTCATACAACAATGAATTATGCATCAGATAAATGGATAAAAGAGAATAACACAAATAACTAGTCTAACATTTTATAGGAAAAAAGAAAAGAACAAATAAATTGAAACTAAAAGACCAAAAGCAAGGTGTTACATTTAATTTTAATCATATCAGGAACAAAATTACAATAAATATGCAATAGAGAGAAGACACAAACACCTGTAGGAAATCAGAAAAGCTTCATGAAGTAGCATTTTTGAGACTCATACCCAAACTTTGGGCAGAGTGAAGGGAATCTTATTAAAGAAGGGAGATAGAAAGATCTGGAGGGGAGAGGAGCTCCACAAGGAGAGCAACAGAACCAAAACAAATCTGGGCCCAGAGGTCTTTTCTGAGACTGATACTCCAACCAAGGACCATGCACGGAGATAACCTAGAACCCCTGCACAGATGTAGCCCATGGCAGCTCAATCTCCAAGTGGGTTCCCTAGTAATGGGAACAGTGCCTTCCTCTGACATGAACTCAGTGGCCTGCTCTTTCATCACCATCCTGTGTTAGGGAAGCAGCCTTGCCAGGCCACAGAGAAAGACAATGCAGCCAGTCTTGATGAGACCTGATAGGCTAGGGTCAGAAGGAAGGGGAGAAAGACCTCACCTATCAGTGGGCTGGGGAAGGGGCATGGGAGGAGAAGAGAGAAAGAGGGTGGGGTTGGGAAGGGACGAGGAAGGGGTCTACAGTTGGGGTACAAAATGAATAAACTAATTAATAAAAAATAAATAAATTAATTAATTTTTAAAAAAGATAAAAAGGATAGGATATAATTTTGATTAGGCAGAGATCAATGATATATAAGACATATTGTACACAGGTATCACAAGACAAATGGCTAAACTGAAATCTGTTTTACTAAGGATAATTTATCTGTATGAGTTAGAGTATAGCTAATACACATGGGAGTTCTTGATCATGAAACTGGTTATGCTGAAACAACATGTTAGCTCCTTTGAATTCCAAAGAAGGAAGTTAGCAATTCACTTGCAAACAACAAAATGGACTTAGATTTGTAATGGCTACTTTAAAGGTGATCAATTTTAAACTTGTAGACAGATTAAAATAGGATGCCATGACATTATTTATCAAGATGAATTTGCATTTGACATTTCTTTTAAGGGACAACAGCGCTATGTGCAAATTAAGGCAAGAAAAGAACCAAGAACATAAGATTTTTGTTCTAAAGTAAGGATGACACATCAAACAAGACATGAGATGGGTAAATGAGAATGAGGTAGAAGTAGCTGTGATAAATGTCATGAGTTATTGAATTTTAAAACACAGAAGTAGGTAATGTATAAGCAAAATGTCCTAAGAGGGCACACCATCATCTTTAAACAGAGAATAAAGTGGGTGGAGGGTACAGAAAGGCTTTCTGTGTTCTAAGTACATTTGGAGTATTTCAGTACTTTTATGTTTGGTCAAGACAGAATGTACTTAAATGTCAGCCTGTCAAATAATCTCTTCTTTAGTCTACTTAATGTTTTCTGACCTCTAAGTAGCAAAACTTAAACCCATTACTGCCTTATAACAAGATGCTTAGAGAGGTACTGAGCTAAACAGCTAAGCTATTGAAAAATCCTACTGAAAATACCAACATGTCTTTGAGGGCAACATGAGAATGGTGTATATTTGAATTTAAGTAGCTGTCAATAGCAGACATTTATACATTCTCGTGACAAGCAAGAAATCAATTATGTACTAGTAACATGAAAGGCTCTTAAATCATAGAATGTGTGGGCTAGCCATATTTGACATAGACTGCATTTCTATCACTGCATATCTCTGCAGAAAATTTTTAATTCACTAGAAACTATTTCCACATTCTCCACAAAATAATAGCTGAAGGTTTAGAACAAAGTTGTGCTGCACAATCTGTGAATTCCAAATATAGAAAACTACATTTACCTCATTTTATATGTAACTTTTGTTCAAAATCCTCTTGTGCATTGCCATTTCAAATAAGAAAATATTGATTATGTGTGAGTTAAGTAATTACTACTTGATGATCTCCAAGATTTTCCAGCAAACTCATGGCTGCCATTTTGACTTATAGTCTTGGCTTATAAAATAACAAAGTATTAGCACATTACTAAAAAATCAGCAACTTTTATTTCACAAATGTACTTGAAAGTATTTTCAATAAAATCAAATAAAATAACAATAATTGTGTTTCTTTAGTATAAAAATTAAAAATAAAACAATAAAATTCATTTTATTTTTACAATACTCCAATTATCTTTGTTCTCATGTAAAAGTAAAAAAAAAGATTAAATAACAATAATGTAATTACCATAGATTTTTTTACCAAGTAACAGTCAATTATTAATAATTATGTATTTTATTACTGTGTGCATACAGACAGTATTAAAAATGGAAAGCACAGAGATAAAATAACAGTATAGAAAAGACATTTTAAAGCCATGTTTCTGATAATATTTTTTGTTTTGTAAATTGTGATTTTTTTTTTTTACTGGTTGCATGATTGTATTCTAAAAAGAAGGAGAAAGAAAGGGCCTGGAGTTAGGTGGATTGAGAGGTGGGGGGATCTGGGAGGAGGTAGAGGAGGGAAACCACGAACAAAGTATATTGCAGGAAAAAAAATTCCAATTAAAAAGTACAAGAAACATTAGCCTTAAGTTATGTTATTGCTATTAACTCTGTGCCCTAAAGCAAAGCATGTCAACCCTAACCATATAGAAAAACTTGCAACAATGTAAGGTCTTAGATCCTACCCACAAGACATTTGAAGTGGTTCCTAAATATTTCAATTTCTAACAAATTTTCATAATATCAAAAGTCATCAGGTCACACTGGATTCCACTGCTGTGGAACATGGGCCAATAAGGTATACTGGAAATTTGGCCTATTTTCATGAATCAAATTTTAATGGATCCTAAACACATTGATACATTTATATACCTGCCTGCTAATTTTTTCTTAAAATAAGAGAGAGATAACTGTGATAGGTACAAACTAGTTCAATAGAAGTTTTGGTTTCTTTGTAAACTCAGTTGTGTAGATATGTTTTTATATTAATCTCAAGTGTGGGATGTTAGTCTGAGCTTTGGTTTGTCCACAGTTGTCAATTGTCTTGTGTGGTGCATGGTTTTTGACAGCCGGGAATGGGATGTCACTTGCAGCAGAAAGAGGGGGCTGGTCTAGGGCTCCGAGGATGTAAATTTGAGAGCCTAGAAAGAGTGGAGTGTCATGTGGCGTTGGTGTGTGGCATGTATCAGTTTGGCAAGACTAGAAACAGACAGTGTGGCAGTCTGGAGCAGAGGGACCAAGAGATGCTTTGGGAGCAGTGGTTTGGAGGAGACTGCTGGCTGCGTTTGCTGACAAAGATTGGTATATCCCACAAAGACCCATCGACCCTAAACAGCTGGAAGAAGTAAAGGGTTAGGATCCCCTTCTCTGCACTAACCTCTTTCCTAAGGTTGGGGGTTGGTGGAAGGAAGGTTGAGGTATAAATACCCCAAATAAAGTAGAATTTGAAACTAAGTGTTATAACCTAGCCTACAAAGTCTTACATATTTACTATCTGGCCCTTTATAGAAAATATTTATTAATCTGAACTCTCAAGATGCCATGATTCTTCCTACTTTCTAGTTGAGATTTTTTAAAAAGTGACTTATCATTATCAAATACAAAGACACACAGACTATTGGAGTACTACTTCTAAACCAATAAAATATTTCCCATCACCCTTTTCCTCCTAATAGGTTGTTTCATCCAGCCTTAACTATGAAGGCTTATTCCTAGTCTTAGTGCATCTTGTTATGCAGTGTTGAGTGGATATCTCTAGGAGGCCTGCTCTTTTCTGAAGGGAATTGGAGGAGCAGTGAATCTGGGGGAGAGGAGAGAAAGGGCGGACTGGAAGGAGTGGAGAAAAGGGAAAATGGTCAGGATATATTGTATGAGAAAAGAGTAAATAAAAGAAATAAAGAAAATTAATAAAATGCAAAAACATATTCCCCATCATCATGAATGTTTCTTTAACTAACAAAAGTTTTTTTTTTATTTCCGTCATATAATTCTAATGAGTATCTAATATATTCCACGATGAGTCACTATGCTACTCACTAGGCCATAAATGAAACTATTGAGACCCTAAATTATGAGATATATGATATAAAAATATCTCCACAATAGAACAATAGTATACTGAAGTTAATAAGTTTCTATTAATACAATTTTCTACTTCTTTGAGGAATTATAAACAATATAACAACCCGAGAGCTCTGGCTGGTAATCAAGCACAAGGATAAATTAAATCACAATTTCTCCAGTTTATCCAATATTTTCTGGCATCATTATTCATTACTCCCTTTCTCCCAATTGAATCATTGGCTAATGATACCATGAGAAAGAAGCAGTGGCAACACGATGCAATCAGACTCATGGGAGTTGTAGCTGATAAACATCAGACCTCCAAGACATACTTTCTTCAATTTAAATAAATTTCTGTGGATTGTCTAGTAAATTTCCTTCAGTTTTTGCCATTCTCATTGTTATAGAAAGAAACTGATTCAAATGTTTATACTAGTTGTTGGACTCCTAAAGGGATCTACTTTTGGAATCTCTGCCTTAGCTTTCTGTGAAAAACTAGCTCAGGAAATTAGATAATTATTTGAAGCTCTTATGTATATTTATTTGTACATACAAAGTAAAACTGTTAATATCTTAGAGCAAAAATCCGAAATTGTTATCTGAATGGAGTGATTTGATTCTGTGAAATTGATAGAGTTTACACATACCATTGAAGATGAGAGTGACAGACATATTTTATGAAGTTAGGTATTCCAATTCATTTTATATCTTCTGATAAAGAAATTGTAGATACACGCATACTTTTCCAATATGTAATTTGCTTTTAAGGACAATTTGCTCATTTTTGAAATAGAAAATAGTAATTTAACCAAAGAAAATGTTGTCAGCGAATACCTGTTGCACGATTGTGGTTAATTCCAAGCAGAGCTGTATGACATTATTTCTTGTGACTGAATAATCTGTCACAGCAGCAAATGGTGACCTACAAAGGGAAAAGAAAGACTGTAAGAGCAGCTTTCAAAAATCACCAAAATATAATAGTGTAACATAAAATTTTAATAATAATGAAAAAAACTTTCTAAAGCTTACAGCTTGATAAAAGACAGTATTTGGGGACTCATTTAGGTTAAAATATATGAAATTAAGAAAAATCAAATTTTAGAAACATAATATTTTCTTTCTTTCAAATTTCTCTTTGTAAACTTCTTTATATTTACCAAGGCCTCTTTACTACATCAACTACAAAACAGCAGAAAAGAAAAGCTTAATCAGAATCAGTATTTTGGTATTTACTTTCCAAAGAAAGTTAACATTTTAAACATGTTTACTTGAAATAGTCATTCTTAAGGGCTAGCAATATTAATAAACTAATGGTCATTAATGGTTTATCATATGAAAATTACTATTCTAATTGTGATATACATACTAATAATATTCACAGTAACTTATGGAAACAAGAACATGAGGTTTGATAAACGTTTAGCGACTTGCCGAAGTTGCAGAATGAGTAGTGTTCATAATCAGAAGTCTGAATCAGGAACTAATAGTCACAAATATCCCAACTTCCTAATCTACCACATAGTTCATCCCATCTAAGAGATCAGCAACACCTATTGATAACTGTCTTTTTTTTCCCTTCAAATTCTTTTTTCCTTTTGCTTCCATGATGCTACTTTCACATGATTCCTTTTCACTCTGGTTATACATTCATACTTTTTACATGAGCTAAACTTCCTTTCTTTTTGGAGACAGAGTTTCTCTGTGCAGCCTGGCTGACCTGGGACTTTCTCTTTAGAGCAGGCTGGCCCCAAACTGAGAGATCTGCCTGCCTCTGCCTTCCTTCCAAGTGCTGGGATCAAAGGAGTGTGCCATCACTGCCTTGAACTAAATTACCATGAATTAAATATTTTCCAGTTTTTAGTGGTCCACAGAGATCATTTCTTATTCCACATACTCTATACTCTAAAAAAAAAAAAAAAAAACCCACAAAAGTATACAGTGCAAGCTAGGACCTCTTCTTGATAATTGTGGTACCAAAATATAAGACAAATTTCTGCTGTATTGAAGTACATATCATATAAAGAATAGTTAATAAGAATAGGCCTAGTTCATAATTAACCTCATTCGGTATGCTAAGAAGGTATAAGTATTTTGAAAAATGAAGTGGGGCAATCAAAATATATTCTAATATTTTCCTTCCATCTCTTATTTGATAGTGGGTTGGCTTATTTTGAATATTCACTGGGTCAGCCAAGTCAGCCATCTGTTACTCATCCCAAATATCCCCATTCACTGGCTCTTTAGCTCTTACTTGTCCTAAGGCCTTATTTATCTAGGTAAGCAACTTAAATATTCTTTCATTTTTTTTTTTGTTTGTTTGTTTTTCGAGACAGGGTTTTTCTTCTGTAGCCTTGGCTGTCCTGGACTCTCTTTATACATCAGACTGGCCTCGAGCTCACAGAGATGTGCCTGCCTCTCCATTCCCCTGGTGCTGTAATTACAGGTGTGCACCATGAAGCCCGGCTTTCTTCCATTCTTATTATTGCTTGGTTAATATGGAGTCTGAAGCACCAATAAACGACTATACATGCACTGGACCCAGAGCTTCTCTATATATGTAGCCAATGGACAGCTCAGGCTTCATGTGAGGCCACTAGTGAGGTGGCACCATGAAGGCTGCCATGGTGATAATGGACTAAACTTCTGAAACTAAACCAGCCCCAATTAAATGTTTTTTTTTTTTTTTTTTTTTTAAGAGTTGCCTTGGTCATGATGCTTCTTCACAGCAGTAGGACAGTGACTAAGACACTTGTTCTATCATGTTACATGGTAAAGGGGAATTAAGGCTGAAGGTAGAGTTAATCAAGACTTGGAAATGGGGAAGACTGTTCTCATGGGCACAATGTAACCATGCAATCCTTAAACTCAGAAGAGGGAAACATTCATTGAAATCCTCTGGCAGGCTTTTAAAACACTCAACCTTGAGCGGCACATTCAGAAAATTTGGTGTAGTTAGTCTAGAGAGCCCAAGAATTCCCCTTTGCCAGGTAATTCTAGCATGATGTTAGGTTCCAGGGCCTAGGATATGACATTATTTTACTTACTCTGAGGGAAAAAGGGACAAGGACATGAGGGACAGACACTACCTCCACACTTTTTGAATCATAAGAGACAAATGGAGAGTCCACAGTTATTAAAAATGGTTGTGCTATTAGTTCAGATGTGGTAGGCTCTCTGTACACTGAGTATCAGAAGCAAGGCTGGCTGGAATAGGCTGCTGTGAAATTTGTTGCTTGCTTTCTAATCCTTCCCTCCCCCCCCGCCATGGGACTCTACCTTACCAGACCACAGAGGAACAAGATGAACTCAGTCCACAAGCAACTAGACGAGCTGTAGTATGTGCATGGGAGGGAGGATTGTGGGCATGGGAGGAGAAGAGAAAGGGGCCTACGACTGAGATATCAATTGAATAAACAAATTAATGAATAAAAAATCTCATGGCAGTGAAGAGGATAACCTATAGAGTCAGATTGTCAGGCTGTATCAAATACTAGCCCCGCTTACTTGTCATTAGGTTTTAAATTTAAGCGCTTTAAATTCTACCAGTTTGCCTACTGGCAAAATAAGAACAATCCTTTTGGATTGTTTTGACTAAAGAAGACTGCCTAAATTTATCATAAGAATGACCATCAGTAGTAGCAGTCATTAAATCCTGAAAAGGCCTCTAAAGTAGTATTCATTTTCTAGCACTGGTCTTCTCCAATCTTTTGCAAGGGAATCTTTGAAATTCACAGATCTGAACAAAACAATGTCTCTGGGTAGCCCCCACTCCCTACTGTCTTTTCCATAAGTAGAAAATGTAAATATGGTTAAGAATTTATTTTCTTTTTCTTATTATTTCATTCATTCATTCATTTTTGCTGTTTTTTGAAACAGGATCTCAGTAGGTAGCTTTGGCTGGCCTAGAGCTTACATTGTAGACCAGGCTGCTGTAACTCATAGATATTAACCTGCCTCCTCAGTGCTAGGATTAAAGGAACATGCCACCAAGTCCAGTTTTTTTGTTTGTTTGTTTTAATTCAAGTTGTTAAAACAATGTTATAATCAAGCCAAACTGTAGTTAAATTTTCCCATGAATAAGAAGAACATTCCATTTCTTTTTCAATTTCTTTTTTTTTGAATGATGTGATTTTTTATTACTAAATTTTTATTTTTTTATATTAATTACAGTTTATTTACTTTATATCCCAGCTGTAGCCCCCTCCTTCATTCCCTCCCAATCCTACCCTCCCTCATCTCCTCCCTGCCCCTTTCTAAGTACACTGATAGGGGAGGTCCTCCTCCCCTTCCATCTGACCCTAGCTTATCAGGTATCTTCAGGACTGGGTGCAATGCCCTCCTCTGTGGCTTAGCAAGGCTGCTCCTCCCACCGAGGGTGTGGAGGTCAAAGAGCTAGCCACTGAGTTCATGCCAGAGACAGCCCCTATTCCCCTTACTAAGGAGGTCACTTGGATACTGAGCTACCACGGGCTACTTCCGAGCAGGGGTTCTACGTTATATCCATACATGATCCTTGGTTGGAGAATCAGTCTCAGACAAGCCCTTGTGCCCAGATATATTTGGTCCTTGTGGAGCTCCTGTTCTCTCCAGGTCTTACTAACTCTATCTTCTTTCATATGATTCCCTGAATTCTGCCCAAAGTTTGGCCATGAGTCTCAGCCTCTGCTTTGATACACTGCTATGTAGTTTCAATTTCTTAAAAAAAAAATCTCTGTGTATATATAAAAAAAAACCCTAAAGTTATTACAATTTATCTTTTTATGTTGCTTTTTAAGTACTTATTTAGTTTTTATGGTCAAAATATCAAATGGCCTCCAACTAACCTAAACACTGTTATATGATATAACACAAAATGCACAATAAATTGTTTTCTTTAGGCCTGTTTTGTCATACTACCACTTCCTATGTAATAAGCATAAAGTAGCCATTGGAAGACTTCATGGATTACTATGTGGAGGTGAACTGATGTTTCCCAAGATAAAACGATGATAAAATGTTATAATAAATAATGCAACAGAATCTTAATAACTACTATATTGTAGCAACTTAGATTATGTATACTCACACTTACCATTAGGAAACAAAAGCTTTGCCTAGTCACTCTATAATGAAAAGAAAGTAAACTAGAATTTACTTAAATCATTTTCTTTCAGGATGAACGAATGTACAGTTACAGGCCAAGTAATGGTGACAGAATATATAACTAAAATTGTGTTATTATTTAAGTATTAACAATTAAGCCTTATCGTACTGCTGTTATATTTACTATATATGTATATAGAGAAGCTATTTCATGTTAGAGTAACATTCTACTATGAAGGAAGGTAAGGGGAAAAACTCAAGAAACACAAGCTATGGAGAAACACTGCTTATAATGGCTTCATTCCCAGGCCTTGCTCACTCTGTCTTCTTTTTATAATTGTTCAATTTTAAATCTGTTTTGCCTGAAAGCTATATGATAACTCCACAGCCAACATTATCTTAAATGGAGAGAAAAATCACAATCCCATTAAAATTAGTAATGAGACAAGTCTGTCTACTATTCCCACTCAATTTCAATACAGTGCTAACAGCACTAGCCTGAGCAATAATGCAAGAGAAGGAAATTAAAGATATATATATATATATATATATATATATATATATATATATATATATACAGAAAAAAGTGATACTGTTTCTATTTTTAGATGATCTGATATACATAAGAGATACCAGAATTCCTCCAGAAAATTCTGCAAACAGTACTCAGCAAAGTGGAAAGGTGCAAAATCAACATAAAAATCTGAACACTTTCTATATATCAACAATAAACATAATGAAGAGGAGACCCAGAATATTCCCATTTACAATAGAATCAAAGATAATAAAATATGTTGTATAAACCTAATAAGAAGGTAAAAGATCTCTATAGTGAAAAATTCAAATCACAGAAGAGATTGGGAAAGATGCTAAAAAAATTAAAAGACATACATATTCATGAATCAGTAAAATTAATATTGTGAAAATAACCATCCTACCAAAAGCAATTTACAGATTCAGTTCACTACCAATCAAAATAGCCACAACATCCTTCACAGATTTAGAAAAAAAAAAATCCTTCTAAAATTCTTATGGAACTAGAATTGATACTCAATAGCCAAAGCAATCCAAAGCAAAAATAATACTGGAAATATTGCTATTCCAGACTTCAGATTATGTCTCCTAGTAATATCAGGAGCTACAGTGATATCATTGTCTCACCAAGATGATTACCTAAACATGAGCTGAAAGACAACACTAACAGATATGACAAGGTGAAGAAGGGAAAGCCTACAAGGCTCAACTTTACACAACAAGCTAAAAGCACATAATGAATGCTGAAAGTGGACGAAACAGTCTTGCCCAGGAAAAAGCATACCAATTTATTGTCCAGTATCAAATAGTCATCCCTGAAGATATACATATAAGTAACATGATACAGATAGAGCTGGTTATATTTAGAAATATATGTACATATAGATATGCATATGATAACAGCTAATGAAAAAAGAGGCCATGAATTTGAAAGAGAGCAAGGAAGGAAGTGGTGTGTGAGAAAATTTGGAGAGAAGGGAGAAGTGTTATCATAATATTATAATCACAAAAATAAAAAAGCAATAAAATATAAAAACAACATTGTACCAGCATCAAAACAGGCATGTAGACAAACAGAATGTCCAAACATAAGCATACATAACTTCAGTCACTTAATATTTGATAAAGATGCCAAAAACATTTGCTGGAGAAGAGTAAGTACCTTCAACAACACTGGGAAAACATGGTTTTCACATAGTAAAAGAACAAAATAAGGCCCCTATCACCTTGCAAAAATGCAAATTAATCAAACCTGAAACCTGAAACACTGAAGCAGCAGGAAGAAAACATAAGCAGTACCCTATATTATATTGATGTAGGAAAGGACTTTCTGAATAGGATTCCATTGTCCCAATAATGTTTTTTCCATTTATTTATTAATTTAATCTCTTAAAAGCCTGATTCCAGCCCCTCCCTCTTCTTTTCCCAGTCCCGTCCTCACACCTATAGTAGAAAACACTGTATAAGTGGCTACTTATGGAACATGGGGAAGAGTATACCTGTCCAACCAAGCAAGAAGACTCTTAGCTGCTCCAATCAGATCCACAACCGAAGTTAGAAAGTCATTTGGTAATTTTCTGCTGGTCCTCCCATCGTAATGGCCACTCCTTCTCCTTCCTGTTATGAAGTTCTGTAGATTTTTGGCAGATGCATTCAACTTGTGAGAAAGGGTTTTCAGATTTTCTGTTTCTAAGCCATAATTCTGAATAATAAAATAGGGAAAAAATACATGTAATCAGTATTTCTGTTATTCGTTAGAAAATTTACTGAGTACTTTCACATATGATGACAGTGGGATAATGTTTGAACTACAAATGAATAAGATAAATTCCTGGCTTAGTGGAACCCACAGTCAAATGCGTGTTATAATAAAGATGTACTAGCTAGTTTTTTTTTTCATGTTTTAATGCTTTCTTTGACCCAAATAATATTTTTTATTCTTCTCTCATATATTACATCCCACCATAGCTTCCTCTCCCTCTTTCCACTCCTTCTAGTCACCTCCTCTTATGTACCTCCACTCTCCCCCAGATCCACCCCCTTCCATTTCCCTTCATAAAACAGCATGTTTCACATAGATATCAACCAAATATGTTATAACAAAATGTAATTAGGAAAGGTACAAACCCTCCTATCATGGCAGAATGAGGTAACCCAGTAGAGAAAAAGGGTCTCAGGAGCAGGCAAAAGAAACAGAGACACCCCCTCTCCCACTGTTAGGAGCTAGCTAGTTTTTGTCAACTTGACACATGATAGTCATCTGAGAGGAGGAACCTTCAATTGAGAAAATGCCTCCATAATATTTGTCTCTCCACAGTGAAGCCTGTAGGGCATCTTATTGATTAGTGATTGATATGGGAAAAATCTAGCCTGTTGTGAGTGGTGCTACCCCTGTGCTTGTGGTTCTGGGTGTTATAAGAAAGTAGGCTAAGCAGGCCACGAAGAACAAGCCAGTTCTTCATGAATAGAGCCTTATAGCTTGAAAGAGTTGATGAACCTCCAAAACATATATATCTTATTTTTCTTTGGAATAACATTGTACATATAATATATATGATGCGCACTGAATATTGTTCAAGAATGGAAAAAATTACTAAATAAATCCTTGATTTTTTGGGTAGCTACAATAATTATTCCCCATAAGGACTAACTTCAAAACAAGAAAGAAAACCACTATATTTGAAAGAAACAAAAGACATTTTACAATTTTTCTGTCTTCTTTACACTAGGAACAGAAATGAGTCAAATACTGTTCTTTAAAGTTAGAGAAGAAGTCACAGTTCTCTAGAAGTTTCATTCAGTAAGATATTAATTTAATGTCTTGTACATGCCAACTATTTCACAGAAAATTGAAGAAAATGCTACTAATTAGACAAGAGCATCTTCCTTGGAAGAGTCAACTAGACAACTATAGAAACTAAGTAAAAAATATAAGACAGAATATGTATGTGACCTTTTTCTTATCATATATCATCATATAATACAAAGTAAACCAATATTTTCATTTTCCCGTGAGCACTCTATGTTCTTTCATACTTGTTTTTACACATGACATTTCTCCTTTCCAAATAACTTCTTTTTAAAAACAGATCCACTATATTAGTTAATTTTTAGTTTTAAAATTTTGTTTTTATTTTATGTGATGTGTATGAGTATATTGCCTGCATGTATTTCCATGTACCAAATAGGAGCAAGACCTATAGAAGTCAGAAGAGGTTTTCAGATCCCCTGGCACTGGAATTACAGAAGATCGTGACATGTCACTTGTTGGAATCTTATTCTTAATCCATGTCTCCAGCACCCAAGTAATCGTTTTTTAACTCAGAAAATATCTTCCCAACCAGAAAGAACAATGCAAATGTCACCTACATGTTCTACACCTCTCAGCTGTGTTTCTCAGTATCATTTTTAAATCTCTGTTGTCTTTACCAACTTTTTTTCTTCCTTAATGGGTCTTGGGGGTAAAGACCATGCATTTTTCATCTTTGCATTTCTACCAGTAGCACGGGTAGACATGAATATATATTTGTTGGAAGAAGATATAAATAGAGGAAAAGTGGTGAGGCTAGCATAAACCAGAGAGATAAGACTAAGATTCCTGTTCCTAATAGTGAATTCGTAGTCTAGTCAGCTCAATTTATTGATGAGGGTGCTTACCTCCCAAATTGAAAATGGCAGTGTAAGTACATTAGCATGCTTTGCTCATATGTTTTCTTTATATTCACTGGAGAACATCTGTTGAATTCATTAGACAATGTCTATACTTATAACTAGCTAGTATATAGCCATTTGGGAAGGATAAAAAGGAAATTAAATATCTTCGGTATGCTACCAAATGACTGTTGAGCAAATAGAGAAAAATGAATAAATTTAATGTTTTGACATTTTTTTCTATGCCATCTTCCAGAGGAGTGTAACTACATGATGAAGTATTCAAATTAGGTAACAATAAGATCCTGAAGCTTGAGCTGTAGAGGTAAAAAAGCTTAGCATATGAAAAAAATTAACAAGGCTCTATGGCTCAATTTTATAAGCACTCTATACATAACCTCTGATACTGTTCTGTAAAGTAAGGTTAGGAAGAAACCTTATAAATGACCCAAATTCCAAAGTCTCCATATCTAGATGAAGTCCACATAACCTTGTCAATCATGCCATCTTTCCATAATCCAAGTGACAGTTCATGTATCAGTCACATATGAGGAGCCACCACTACCATAGACAGACAGATAGATAGATAGATAGATAGATAGATAGATAGATAGATAGATAGATAGATAGATAGATAGATAGAGAAAGAGAGATAATTACCCCTCTACAACCTACCTCAACTTCTACAATAATTTCAGGGCCCTCTGGACATGAATTTGGAATTAGTGTGCTAAAACCCTAGGACCTTTCCTTATCAATAGTACAGTCTTTTGCTTTAGGCATAACTGCTTTAACCTGATTCAGAGTTTAAGTAAATATTCTGGTCTCAATCAATCAATCAGTCAATCGATCAATCAATGTGTGTGTGTGACAGAGAAAGAGAAAGAGAGAGAGTTTGTGCGTTATTTTTAATCTATGTGGGATATCATTATTTTACTCACTCTACCTACTATCATATTTCATATTGATTATGTAATATGTGTCCATATAGCTTAAATAAAAAGTTATTGTCTTTTATGTATTCCTATAATATTTACCACATATTCTATATTTTGGTCATTTCGACATTGATTATTTACTTGCCATTCTCCTCAAATATGTTTTGCAAAGAAAAAAAAGTAAGTCTTATTCACAGTTGAAAAGGTACTAAGTATATAAATTAATGCTTCCATTGAACTGTATTTAATTATCTACTTGATTTTATTAGTCATCATCTCAATAGTTACTCTTTATTGAGGTTATACTGAATATAGACAGTAATTTAGGCATAACACAAACATAATTCCTTATTTTTCAGACCACTACATGAAGGCAGTAGTCATTTGGGCTTTCAGCAAACTCTGGCTATGGTGAAAGGACTTTTTACAAGTTATCAGTAACTGGCTAAGCTGATATTCAAATTCAGGTTATAGCATTACATAGATCTCATTTCTATCTCTGCAATTCCCTTCTCTTTCAAATAATTTTAAGAATTTAAAACAATTCAGGTTAGTTTTACTGTGCTTAATCCGGAAAAAAATCTATGACTATATCCAAAATCAGAGTATCTAACGTGTTACCACAAGCTTAGAGGAGGCTTATTTTGACATTGATTTTTCTTGATTTATTATTCATTGTTTGTTAACTAAAGAAAGTAACCATGTGATGTACAATAGTTTATTTTCATTGAATATGTGTGAAAATACAATCTGAATAATTTTGTTTTAAAGCTTTGTAAAAACAAGATTACTTAATATTTCAAATTTTAGAAGTGGATTTAACAACTAATTACATATAACTGTGTATAAAAAGCACCACTGTTAAATTTTCCCTTGATTGATATCTGGCTCTGCCCCTTGCTTTCTGAGGCACTGGATGAGCTAGCAGAGGCAGGACTGGAGAGCTTGCCCCAGGGTGGTATGGGTGTGGGAGAACTGGCAGGCTGATCAGCTCAGATACTCCTCAGGCCCAGACCCAGGCCTTTGAGTTGGATCAACCCAACATCTACCACATCAATGAATTGCTGGTGCATATGAAGGGGCTGGTTCTATAGATCCAAAATTACAGGAGCTCCATGACACAGGGCAACAACAGAATATCCAAGAAGAATCCCAGTGAGGTTACAGTATTGACGGTGTAGCAGAAGCCAGAGGTCTGGAACCAGACAAATGGCTCATGGCAATGAGCATTTACAAGCAAAGAAGTGTGGTCAACAGAGTATAGTGTGGAACACACTGTCACATACTACAGCTTCCACAGGAGATATTTTTTCCCTTTGGTCGGGGAGATTGCAAGGGTAGAGGACAGGTGCAAGGGGGTGCATGATGTGAAATTAACAAATAGCCAATAAAAAGTTTTTAAAAATCTCTTGGTTAAGCTCCAACTTGTTTTTCACATGGTGAAACATTGTATTACTACTTGACTTTTAAGTCTCTTTGTCATTTAGCTCCAATGTAACAAATTTACAGAAGGATACAAATTTTCCCTACCTGTAACTAGATTATAAAAATGAAGAGAGAAAGAAAAGACAAATAAGTGGATTGTGAAGGAGAAACATTAGGGTTTCCTTTCCAATTTCAACCCTTACCAGTGCACACAAAAGGTCAACTGCCTCCAAAATCAGCTCCTGATGGCCAATACGGCTGACTCCCAGATCTTCTAGCTCCTGATGTGTAATGCGTAGCAGCTGGTCTCCACTGATCTTCTCCCTCTCAAAGTTCTTAATATACTGCTGCAAACAGTCATCAAGACCTACAAAATAAAATTAGAAAGGACAGAATAGAAAAATAAAAAGTTGATATAAACCAATTAATCGACAGAAGGAAAGCAAGCAATAACTCCTAATATGCCAAAATGAAAATCCATTTTGTCTTTGGACTATCAAATCATTCGCTTCTTCTCAATCTATATGTGGGCTATAACAAAAATAATTATATTCTTCATTGTTAGGTTTATATTTTTATTCAAACTTTCCCAGTTATTATTGACAACCTTTATCTCTCTTCTAAGTTTTGCTTTCTTACAAATATCCAGAATAACAAATGTAAACAGGTTCCCCTCACATATGCATCACACCTTTTCTCTCTTTAACACCATTTCAGAAGGAGGGATCTCATTCTTTCTACACAGCCAAATGAATCTTTTTCCTGTACTCTAAATTTCTGTCTTCTATCACCATAGCAGTACTTCAACAATTTTAAAACTAAATACTCTGTTTCAACCAATTTTGATTCCTTGACTCCTTTTATAGTTAAAACTCTGCTATCCTAAAAATTAAAAGAAACACTTTGATTTCCTTCATTCTGTGTTCTCTGTCATTCTTTTTAAGCCTAAGCACCTTTCCTTTCTTTTCTTTCCTTTTTTTTCTCTTTAAGCTGCAATGAATTCCCTAATCCATTATCCTTTGGATTTAACTCAACTTCAGAAGTATATAATCACATTGCATTTCATGCTCTTAAAAATATTTTTTTTTCAAGATTACCCATGGCAATTAATAAGTGATTGTTCAGGCTACAGGTTCCATTAAGTTCAATCATCTATAAAGTGTACTGGCACAAATGCCAAATTGAAATAATATGACTAGGTCTCTAGAATTTTAGGTGAAGATTATCAAGAAAACGAAACAATTAACACAATTACTGATTATATCAAAAAGGGAAATAAGATTCCATAGTGGGCTATAGTTTAACAAAAATTATTAGGGAGTAGAAATCATAAGCAAGTAGGGAGAAAAAAGAAGTGGTTAAAACATGTATCCCAAATGAAAAAAAGTCCTATAACAGAGATGCACAGCCTCAAGAGAAAAACATATTCCTAAAAGCAATCTGGTTCCTGACAACATATCATTATCTTCATGTTGCTGTATCAAATAAAATAATTCTAGATCTTATCATTACGCACATAGCAGTGGAGAATGAAAGAAAAATAGTAGTGAAGGACCAGAAACTAACTGTAAATTTAAAGAAAGTTTGAGAATATATTAAGAGAATATCTCATGTTGCTTGTGATTTCTCTTCATGAGTGTTGTCTTCATGATGATGAAATTAAGAAAACATTGAGTGAGTTAAAGAGTGTTCAAAGCAGACTATAACAGAGGAGAGCAGGAAGTGGATACCTGGAAAATATGGGCCTGTTTGATGTTAGATGCTTGAGAATATTTATATTTTGAAAAGATCCGTTTATCTCTATTGAAATAGAGGGAAAAAAGAGAAATAGAGCAAATAAGGAAAAGACAAGTGAAAACGCAGATAGAATATGACTGTAAGATGGGAGACTCCCATCTAAACACTTTAAGACAACTGTATCAAGGTATATAAAGTTGGAAATTTATAAAGCGAAAAAGCCAGTACAGTGATACTATTTATTACAAATGTATGCTAAGTACCTTAAGACTTTGTACTAAATAATGTGTGACAGTGTGACAAAGCACAATAGGATTTTTATTTGAAAAAGAAAATGTTCATAACAGCAACAAGGGAAAGATGAAGAAACTAGGTGTCACACACACCAATGAATGCTAGTGATAGAAAAGTAAACACAGCAGACCTTAGGAAATGTATTTATTGAAAGACCTAGATAGGTATGCAAAATGATTATTACAATTTGATGTATTAAGAAAGTTAGTGAAGGCAGCAAAAATAAAAAAAAGACAGAATGTTTGGCAAAGTATATAGGGTCAAAGATGTAATAGGCCAGAATACCTGAAAGACATCAGCAACAACAAAAACACATATAAGAATGAGAACAAAAAAATGGTTCAGAGAGGAACCAATAACAAGTGGGTTACACTAGGCAAGTATTAAATCCAACACAGCATTCTATTCATATAAGAAATGAAACTATGTCGTACTTGGCAATTATATCATCACTGATTTTAGCCAAAAGTATATTAAAACAATAAAAATGGAAGGCAAATAGTGAGGGAGGCTGTGGAGTAGCTTAGAAATGAAAAGGCAAACAGCTTGCATATATAATATTTATTCAGGAGATTGTATGATATTGGTAAGGATGAAGAGTAGAAGAGAAAATATCAAATAAGGTCAAAGTGACTATTTCTATATAATTTTTAAAGCTTAAGAAATTAAAAGTGCAATGTTAAGTAACTTTCTAAGTATACATAGTGAGTAAATGACCAGAAAATCAGTACTAAAAACTGACCCCACAAAACTTGAAGTTGTAGTTATTCTGACTATATCAGACCACCTGAAGACTAAAACCCAATCAACCAAGGAAACAACAAAAAACTTCCAACAATTAATAGGATTACATTCTTGCAGAAAGGTAGCATAGGGTGGAGAGAAAAATATAGGTATTTATTAGAGAAAAAATAACATTCATTCACTGGGGATACAAAGTGAATAAATTGTAATAAATGAATAAAATAAAATAAAAAAATCTGCAGAAGACTAAATTTCATGCTGGCATACTTTCAGATAATGAGAAAAATGTAAAATATCTGAAAGACATACATTCTAAAGGTGCATTCAAATGAATGAATGGAAAAATATTGTCATTAGTCTTTAGATAAAACTGAAGCCAATACAATACATGCTGATTTGGCAAGCACTTTTTTTTACTATGTTTTTTAATTAACATATATTTATTCATTTTGTATCCCAGCTGTAGCACCTCCCTCATCCACTGCTTATCTCATCCTTCCTCCCTCTTCTCCTCCCAGCCCCTCACCCAGTCCACTGATAGGGGAGATCCTCCTCCCCTTCCATCTGACCCTAGCCTATCAGGTCTCATCAGGACTGGCTGCATTGTCTTCCTCTGTGGCCTGGTAAGGCTGCTCTCCCCTCCCCCTCAGGGGGAAGTGATCAAAGAGCCAGCCACCGTGTTGAAGTCAGAGAAGGACCAGGTTCCACTTACTTGGGAGCCCACTTGGACAATGAGATGCCAATGGGCATACATGCATGGTCCTTGGTTGGAGTATCAGTCTCTGAAAAGACCACTGTGCCCAGATTTCTTGGTTCTGTTGTTCTCCTTGTGGAGCTCCTGTCCTCTCCAGGTCTTTTTATCTCCTCCTTCTTTCATAAGATTCCCTGTACTCTGCCCAAAGTTTGGCTATGATTCTCAGCATCTGATTCAATACCCTGCTCAGTAGAGTCTTTCAAAGGCCCTCCGTGGTAGGTTCCTACCCTGTTCCCTGTTTTTTCCCTCTTCTGATGTCCATCCCGTTTGTCTTTCTGAATGAGGATTGAGCATCTTATCCAGGGTACTCTGCCTTGCTTAGTTTCTTTAGGTGTACAGATTTTAGTGTGATTATCCTATATTATATGTCTAATATCTACTTATAAGCGAGTATATACCATATGTGTCTTTCTGCTTTTGGGATACCTGTTTCAGGATGATCTTTTCTAGTTCCCACCATTTGCCTGCAAATTTCATGATTTCCTTGTTTTTAATGGCTGAGTAGTATTCCATTGTGTAAATGTACCACAATTTCCTTATCCATTCCTGTGTTGAGGGACATCTGGGTTGTTTCCAGGTTCTGGCTATTATTAATAAAGCTGCTATAAACATAGTTGAGCAAATGTCCTTGTTGCATACTTGAGCCTCTTTTGGATATATGCCTAGAAGTGGTATAGCTGTATCTTGAGGAAGCAATATTCCTAATTGTCTGAGAAAGCACCAGATTGATTTCCAAAGTAGTTGTACAAGTTAACCTTCCCAACAGCAATGGAGGAGGGTTCCCCTTCTCCACATCCTCCCCAACAGGTATTGTCACTTGGGTTTTTTATTTTAATCATGCTGATGGGTGTAAGGTGAAATCTCGAGGTTGTTTTGATTTGCATCTCTCTGATGACTAAGGATGCTGAACATTCTTTTAAGTGTTTCTCTGCCATTCAATAATTTTCTATTGAGAATTCTCTGTTTAGCTTTGTACCCCATTTTTTAATTGGATTACTTGATTTTTTTCCTTTTTAACTTCTTGAATTCCTTTTAGATTCTGAATATTAACCTTCTGTCAGTTATAGGGTTAGTGAAGATTCTTTCCCAATCTGTAGGCAGTCGTTTTGTTCTGATGACATTGTCCTTTCACCTACAGAACCTTTTCATTTTCATGAGGTCCCACTTATTGATTGTTGCTCTTAAAGCCTGTGCAGTTCTTGTTCTGTTCAGGAAGTTGTCTCCTGTGCCAATGAGTTCCAGGCTTTTCCCCACTTTTTATTCTAACAGGTTTAATGTGTCTAGTGTTATGTTGAGGTCTTTGATCCACTTGGACTTCAGTTTTGTGTAGAGTGATAAGTATGGATTTATTTGCATTTTCCTGCATATAGACATCCAGTTAGACCTGCACCATTTGTTGAAGATTCTGTCTTTTTTCCATTGTATGTTTTTGTTTTTATTTGAGACAAATAACATTCACTCACTGGGGATACAAAGTGAATAAATTGTAATAAATAAATAAAATAAATAACTATGGAGGACTAAACTTCATGCTGGCATGCTTTCAGAAAGTGAAAAAAATAATGTAAAGTATCTGAAAGACACACATTCTCAAGCTCTATTCAAATGAATGAATTGAAAAAACATTGTCATTAGTCTTTAGATAACACTGAAACCAATACAATATGAGCTGATTTGGCAAACACTCCTTTATTTTAATCAATGCCATTATTCAGTTACCCTTCTGCATAAACATAGTTGCTCTCTAACAAGTAATACATAATTCATTTTTTTCATGAATCTTCAAGAAAACCAAATAAAATAAAATAAAAACAGGACAAATTTCTTCTAGGCCTGTA